GTCATAATAAAAATTAAGTAAGAAGTGAATAAAAAGTAAAAATTTAAAATTTTTCAAAATTTACTATTTAAATTTTATTTAAGATTAAAAAAATAAAAAATATAAATTTTTTTTAAAAAAATTAAAATTTATAAAATATAAATAATGTTAAAAAAAATTAAATCACTTACAAATTTTACCAAATATATTCTTAATCCTATTGCGATTGAATAATGATTCGAAGAACAAATCTTTCAAGACGAAATTAGAAGATCACTTACGTGGACAAATCTTCCCTTTCAAACATAAGATTTTACATAAGATTTTACATATACGTCTACATGACAAGTGCATTAAGTATTTAAATATAATTTATCTATGTAAGTGATCCTCTAATTTCATCCCATAAAATTTGTTTCCTTGTATCATTATTCATCGCGATTATTGCGTTTCAACACAGCTAACTCGCTAGTCTTCAACCCAACCTGCTTCATGCTGGTAGAATATGTAACGCGCGTGCGCGCATGAAGTTGACAGTACATTTTTCAATCATGTTACGAGGCACATGTAGTTGTCCAAATTGTGAATAAGCTGTCTATAATGAGGGCCGCCCTGAATTGTGAGCCTTGAATTATTTTATTTAGAGTGTAATTTCGCAGCAGGCATGGCGCAATACGTACCGCTTGCCGCATGAATCATCCCAAATAATCTTTGGTAAAATGATTTATCACACCTGGGCTTTTTTTTTTTTTTCACCACCCGGTATTTCAGAGTTTATTGGACTACCGATTAATTTAAATTTGAACTTAACAAAACTTAACGACAGCAAAATTTTTTCTCGAAAGTTTTAATGGAATTGTATTTTTAGAACTTAAAATCAAAATTTATAGTTAAGTTGAAAGAGTTATCTACCAACTCATTTACCTACTCGTTGGTAGTTTTTTTTTTAATGCATACATACTCTGTCAAAATTCCTCATAAAAAAAATCTGAAATACATTTATAATAAATTACTAATATATATCATTGGATATAAGAATAACTCTAAGATTAGATACACTGATAAATAAATATTATTTTATATATTAACTTTAAAATTAAAATTTTGAGATCAATATTTAAATAAAATAATTTTTTTTAAATATATTAAGTTGATGTAAAAAATATGTTAAAATTAGTTTGAAAACACATTAATAATAAATATAAAAAAAATCATTTGACAATAAGAATGATATAACCATATATTCATTTAAATCTCATTCACCACTCTAAATATGGATAGCAAATTACTCGTTTATAAATTGTGAAAAATAATCATTTTGATTTTTAGAATGGAAATCCTTATAATATATGGTCAAGCAAGCATTTAACTTTCTTATTATATATATTGTATAAAATGATTTATTTTAAAGTACAACGTATTATACAAGTATATGCAATAGTACAGATTTAATTACTTAAGCGAACACAAAACTAAAAATTAAAAAAAAAAATCGGGAGAAATATTCCACAGCAATCTTTAAATCCTTGAGTAGATGATCTAAGGTCAAATTGACAGAAGAATTGATTTTTTTTTTCCTCCCTATATATATTAAAGAATTGTTAAATAGTGTTATAAACGAAATAAACAGCATACCACTTATAAATTTTTTTAATATATTAAAAAATTAATTATTTAATATTATAGAGATTTAAATCTTTAAATTTAACTTCGAATTAAAGATTTTAAGTTTACAGATATTAAATCGGCTAAGCTTATATTGGTGGCATGCATGAATGGCCGGGAACTAAATCGGTTTTATACAGAAAAAATGGTAACTAAATCAATTTATTTTAGGAAAAAAAATCTAAACTTATATAGATATATAATTTAATTTAATACCAAAAATGAAATTTATGATATTTTAATTTTTTCCTCAAATCTTCATTTTTAATATTGGGTTGTACGATGGGACTTCCATGAGTTCCATCCCTACCCCATCTGTATAATCATTCCCTCTAATTACTAAATTTTATTTATTATACTCTCAGTTTTAAAATAAATTTTATTTTTATTTTATTATTTTAAAAGAAAGTTAAAAAATAAAATAATTTTTTTGATAAGATAATTAATTAAAATAAATAAATAATAATAAAATTGAAGTAAAAAAATATTTATTTATCTTAAAAAATAAAAAAATAATATTAATTTAAAATAAACTCAAATCAAATAGTAATAGTTATTTTAATACACAAAAAATAAGCTAATACTATAATTTTTATAATAAATTAACGTAAGAGATAAAAATGTAACAATCATTTAATATTATTAATGAGGAAAAATGATCTTAAAATAAATTAGATAAGTATTAATAAAAAATCGTAATAAAAAATTAAAAAATTAAAACAAATAAATTTGTTAATAAAAATAAAAGAATTTTAATTCACTAAAGGGTTGAAATAAAAGTTAGTTAAGATAATTTTTTCAATATGTTAATGGTTTAGAGTCTAATTATTATCCATCAATACTAAATAACTAAATAAAAATTTTCACTAAATATTTAATTTATAACAATTTTAAAATAAATAAATTTACTAATTGTCTATCCCTAACAATTTAGGTTAAACTACTGTCTGTTACCCTCAAATTAAAATATCAAACGTGACCATCATCAGCATGAAATTCAAGCTAAAAATTTGTTATTTTAAAAAGAAAAAGGTTATCACTTAAATAAATAATTTAGTAGGAAATGTTTCCCTTAAATGTTTGCATTGCCGTGCTCGTGTGTATTTGTTTTTTTCTTTTTTTTCTTTTTTTTTTTTGGGAAACAGTCTGTAGCTAAAGCATTATTTCAGGCAAACCCGCGCTTTTCTATCTATCCCTCGTCAAACCCGTAACTCTGCTTTCTCCGTGTGGATCTTCCGTTTGAATTTGAAACCCGATTCTCAAATTGCTTTTTCTCTGTCTTTAGTGTTCAAATTGCCAATTTTGCATCTCAAGATTACCCCTTTTCTGTGTGCGTTACAGTAGTTTTTGGTGATGGGATGGCTTATAATATCATAATAAGCTTTCAACGACTTTCCCTGCCTTTGATTCTTCACAAAAGCCAAAACCCACCGCCGACTGTCTGTTCCCTCCTCTAATTTCTTCTTCCATTTCATAGAATTCATTTTTCTAAGTCAACTTTGTCGCCTGTCTCTTTGTACCCTTGTATCCCCGATTGCTTTTGAAGGGTTTTGGGTAACAAAGTTCAATGCTTTGAATTTTTCATGTTCTATTCTTTCTGGGTTTAGATAAAGACATCCCCTTTTTCCCTAGATTTTGAGTTTTATTTCTATAACTCTGGGTCATTGGTCTTGGTCAGGGATTGGTGGGATTGGGTCCTTTTCTTAGGGTTTACTTTTCTTTGGTTTTGGTTTTGTGTTTTTTGTTTTTTTTTCTCTGTTGTAATTATTTAAATAGTTGGTGGCAGGAAATTTTTTATAGTTCTGAGCTCCAAAGGGTCACTTTTATTTTTATTTTATTTTTTTCAGGTTTCATAGGAGAGAACAAGTATTCTCAACATCCTTATTGGTCTGTGACTTTGTGTTTTTTAACACCCTTAAAAAGCCTTGGATTATCAGGTCAATCTTGGAGGGAATTCAGAATTGATAATTGGAGTTGGAATAAGAAAAGGGGTTGGTGAAACTGGGTTTCTATTCCATCTTATTTGTACCTGTTTTATTTGATAGGTTTTGATATTTTTTTTTGATTGATTATAGGCTGTGACTGTCTATTTCCATTATTGATATTATATGGGTGTTTGATGCAAACTGAGAGATAGAATTTTTTCTCGATAGTTGCTGTTTCTTGAATTCTACATAGACTTGTTGTTCTATCTGGGTTCTTCAAGTATGGATTTGAAAACCCGTGATGAAGGTAACGGTGTTAAGTCACCAATGAAATTAGATAACCGGGAAGAAGTTGTGAATACAAAGGTGAAGGGTACAGGGAGTGTTAGTAATAAGGATATGTTATTTAGAGCCGATAAGATTGATTTGAAAAATCTAGATATACAACTAGAGAAGCATCTGAGTAAGGTTTGGTCTAAAAACACTGTGAATCAAAGCCAAAGGCCTGCAGAAGAATGGGAGATTGATCTGTCCAAGTTGGATATAAGGTATGTCATAGCTCATGGGACTTATGGGACAGTGTATCGTGGCACCTATGACAACCAAGATGTTGCTGGTACGTGTTTCTATTTCCTTTTTCTAATTATGCATTTTCCCCCCCTCTTAGTAGATAGAGGAAAATAAATGAAAAGTTGGAATCTATATAACTTTTTTGTTGCTGCAAAGTTTGTCCATTTTTGTAACTTTTTTTCTGAATAACTAGTCATTTTATTTTGAGTTAAGTAAAAGTTAAGTGGCTACAATTACTTGGTGTTCCTTTGTTATTCTGCTTCAGAATTATGTTAATTTGTATGGAATTCCGAATTACGAATCCTGTATGAAGTTTGGTTTTAACCTTTTAAAAGGCTTTTACTTTAGATCAATCATCTTGTGAAGATGATGTTGTCAAGACTTTCTCAGTTATTTTAAAGTTGACAGAAAAAAAAGTTTGGCATTTTATGGGCGAAGTTTTAGCAGGGAATCATTTGAAAAATCTAATTGGCACTTTAGGCTTGATAGTGCAAACTTTTATTGTACTTAATAATGGTATATAAAATTGTTTTTTTATGTCAGTATTCTAGTGATTTGATTCAAAGTTTGTCATTCTTAAGGAGTTTCTCTAATTTAGCTTCATTAATCCACCAAACATTGTTACCTTTTCTACGGTAAATATGGGTTGCTAAACCAACTCATTCTTAAGGCATGTATGTAGGAGGAAAATCTGATTTACATGCTATTTTTAATGTGGTGTATTGTACCCTCCTACATAATAATCCAATTTAGCTGATTTGTAGTTGTGCATTAGCAGATTTTCCTTTGGGATTCTTGCATGCCATCCAACTAGCTTTGACAATTGTTTCCAATTGGTTTTTTTTTTTTTTTTTTGGCCATTGTTTCCAATTGTTTTACTCTCTAGTTTTTCTGGACAATTCTTGCTGTTTACATTCTGCAGAAATCATAAAGTAGAAATTTCATGATAATAATTCCTAAATGTTGAATACATTAACGAACTGGCTATGAAGTGTCTGGCTGTCACTAAAGTTATCAAGTAAAATCTTTTATTCTTCAAGTTATTCAGTTTTGCTATCTTCTCTATGAGTGAGATTTCTAGCCATAAACACATTTTCAGTTTCAAGTTCTCACCACACTATATAATATTCAATATTGTAGTGAAGCTGTTGGACTGGGGCGAGGATGGTATGGCCACAGCTGCTGAAACTGCTGCTCTTCGGGCATCATTTCAGAAAGAGGTTGCTGTTTGGCACAAGCTTGACCATCCTAATGTTACAAAAGTAAAGTTCTTTCTTCTATTTGTTATTGTATTTTATTGACATCGCATCATACTGAATGCAAGTCTGGATATAAATGTTTAACATTTCTAGATTGGATCATTTCTACTGGATCAGCTTATGGTTTTCAGATTTGTGCTTTTTCTGCAAAACATAGTTGTTTAGCTGAAGTTTAAACCCTTTTTTAACTTTTAAAAATATTTTTAGGTTCTAATTCTGTTTATTTCCTCCCTTTTTTTTTTTTATTATATTATTATTATTATAGTTTGTTGGAGCCTCAATGGGAACTTCAAACCTTAAGATACCTTCAAAAGATTCAGCTGATGGTCAGAATTCTCTTCCTTCTAGAGCTTGTTGTGTAGTTGTGGAGTATCTCCCAGGTGGCACACTTAAACAATACTTGATAAAAAATAGGCGAAAGAAACTTGCCTTTAAGGTTGTGATCCAACTTGCTTTGGATCTCTCCAGGGGGTGAGTTTCTGGTATGGCATTTCTGAACCAAAGCTCTGTAAAAAGAACTATTCTGATGAAGTCTATTTTTTTCAATTTTCAGTCTCAGCTATCTACACTCAAAGAAGATTGTGCATCGTGATGTCAAAACTGAAAACATGTTACTAGATTCTCAAAGAACTCTTAAAATTGCTGATTTTGGTGTTGCCCGTGTTGAAGCTCAGAATCCAAAGGACATGACTGGTGAAACTGGTACCCTTGGATACATGGCCCCGGAGGTATGCCTTTTTAAATCTTGATTGGTTTTATTGAAGAAGAAATGGTTGCAAACTCTATACTTGATGTTGAGGCATATATGAATCATTAATCAAGAGAGAATTTGAATGATATATGCAGATTTCCTATATGTGATCCATTTGTTATTACCAAGGTAGAAAGAAAGAAAGAAAGAAAAAATATGTAAAAATCTTAATACATGTTCTGTCCTATGCATTCTATTGATTTTTTTTTTTTCTTTTTTGATGGAACATTCTATTGATGTTTGTTTATAGAAAATGAAAAAAAGAAAGAAAAAGGGATACATGATGCTACTTTTCACATATTCCTTTTAAGGGGGTGGTTGTGTATGATGTCTGCCTTTCTGGTTGTCTCTCTTGGTGAATGTGTTGCTGTCACCTAAAATTTTATGGATAAGCAAATAATTCCTCAGGGATGGAAAACAGGAGATTTTCATAGTTGTCCTTGAAGAAATATTACTGTTCTCTTGTTATCCCATTCAATATGTGCATGTTTGGGGCATGCACAAGCATAAAACACTAGTACCAATATAAAGTATAAACTAAGTTTTTTTTTTTTCCCCTGAACAGCATATGAATTTAGTAGTTGTGTAACTAAACTTTGTTTTCCATGATAACCCTTGAACTAATAAGATCTTTTATAGGTTCTTGATGGTAAGCCCTATAATAGAAGATGTGATGTCTACAGCTTCGGCATATGCTTGTGGGAAATTTATTGCTGTGATATGCCTTATCCAGATCTTAGCTTTGCTGATGTCTCATCTGCAGTTGTGCGACAGGTTAGTTAATAACTGCAGGGTTTCTATTCTCATATTGTTGGTTCACAATATCATGGCATGAGAAGATTAGGTGCTGCCCCTTGTCATTGTCTCTAATCAGATTTTTTGTGATGGCACTGGGGAATGGTTTCTTTTTTGTTTCTTAGACTCAGAACTTGAGCTTGTCATTTGATTTGTATATCATGCCATGCTTAGAGTCATTGATTTCATTTCAAGGTCAAAACTTAGTCCAATTTTTGGCCATGATTATTTTTAAACCCCAGGCTGATATTGCCAGATGATCCTCATATCAGTCTTTTGTTACCTCATTTATATTTAGTTTTTTATCTGCTGTAGCTTAGATTATGAACAAATAGTTCTGCTTTTGCATTTGGATTAAAATCCTAAACTTTTATAAGATTTTTTAGACTTTCAGTAGAGAGCAGTGCTCTTTACTTGTGAGGCCCCAACTGATTGATATGGTCAGTGCAACACTAGCAATGTGATTTCATTCCTTTATTAGAATTGTCTATAGAACTCCTAGATGTAGCTTTGATGCTTATACTATATCCACCCTGCCGCCTGTTTATGCGAGATTTGTACAGTTCAGAATCAAATATGCTATATATTGAAATTGAATAGCTTCAACTAGCTCATCAAAATAAAATAAGTTACCTGCGTATGCAAGTTTGTAATATTGTGAAGTATGAGTATTGTTTTGATTATTGAAACGTCTACTCTAGAGATTATTAACACAATACAATATGTTGCAGAATTTACGACCTGAGATCCCCAGATGCTGCCCAAGTTCACTAGCAAATATCATGCGAAAATGCTGGTATGCAAATGCAGATAAGCGTCCTGAAATGGATAAAGTGGTGAGAATGCTGGAGGCAATTGATACCAGCAAGGGAGGAGGGATGATACCCGAAGACCAGACTCCAACTTGTTTCTGCTTTGCTCCTGCTCGTGGCCCTTGATTTTTATCATCATTATTTTCTCTCCATTTTTTATACAAAGATGAAGTAAAAAATGAAGGGCCTGTTGCATTCTTTGCTTGTTTTTATGTTCAGGAGTGCAGAAAACATGCTTTAGTAGTTATTCCAAATGAGTTCAATCAGTCTGCCAGATTCAAACATTACATTTCTACATGAAACTTGTTTCTCTGCTTTGCTCTGTTACTATTATTATTATTATTATTATTATTATTATTATTATATAATGCGACTGAAATTCATGAAATCTAACTTCAAAATAAAGAAAGTTATTATTCGACTATAATAATAACCCTGCAGGCACCAGTATAATTTTCTTGTTCAAAAATTTCTGGTACAGATTTGTATGGTTAGAAGGCTATTAAGAAAGTTTTTATCAGAAAAAGTGATTAAAAAAGTATTGAAGAAAATTAAAATATATTATATGAAAAGTTGTTAAATTTTATAATGAAATTTTATTAGAATTTTTTTAAGTTATTATTATTATTATTTTTTGAACAAGTTGTTAAGGAGAAAGGGGAAATGCACCTCAAGTTGGCAGGGTGTCATTTGACCCAAAGGATCAGGTGTAGAATTTTATTAAGTTGTTATTATTATGTTTTAAAGAAATTGATATAAGTTCATAAAAAAAAAATTGTTAAATGAATTTAATATAAAAAAAGTTATATAATTTTTTTTTTTGTTTCAAAATAAGTGAAAAGAAAATTTTATGAGTTAAGAATTGTGTTAAAAAAAATAAATGTTTAAATATCATTTTTTTTGTAATATTAATGTATAAAAATACATAAATAAATTTTTTTAAAAAGTTTAATAGAAAAGTTCCACAAGACCAAACACATCCTAAGTTTGAGAATTCTCTTGGACGAACAAAGATTTTCATTTTCTTGGTATAACCAAGGCTGGGCTTTGCTTCATTTAAAATTTAAATAAATGATTTCTAATTTCAATTACAATATTAATATTATTACAACATTATGTGATATATTTTTAAAAAAATGATAATTAATATATTGCATTCTTAGTATCTGTTTTGACAATCTTATGAATTTATAATACATTATATTATTATATAATTAATTTTTTTATTAAAAATATTCACGCTACCCAACCACTGAGGATGCAGCGCCGGCGGGTTCTGTAACTCCCGAACCCAAACTCCGAGACGGTTGTGACTCATACTTCAAACACTTATATATCTTATCTCATTTTATTCCTTTTTTGATGTGGGATTCATCCTCTTTTTTCACATTTGACTTCACAATTCCAACACAATAACAATCAATAGCCTTTCTCTGATTCTCCTTTTTTTTTTCTTTTTTTTTTAATACAAAGTAATAACCACCATATATAATTTGGATGAATGAACCAACCACAAACAACTCATAAGGAAAATTGATCTCCATCTCAACGTCAGCTCTTAAAATTTTCTATTAAAAACATTAATAACTTGGTGTTAATAGCTTTCTTTGATAATATTTTGTACAAACATTTTTTTACTCAGTATCTTATTTTAAAATATAAATATATAATTATTAATTAATATAATTAA